AGGAGAATCTTAGCTTTGCTGAAGCTCTGGCAAAGCCCAAACTGTTCAGAAATCTGAGTTTGTTGTTCTACTATTTAATAGAGGTGTAATGATTTCAGTATCAATAGATGAAAATATGAGCCTTTAAAATAGTGCACTGAAATTTAAATGTGTATCCAGCCTTTCAGTTTCTTTCAAGAGGCTCTCATTTAAGCCTGGGCTGTAATCTGAATCCTCTTATCCATCTTATTGTATGGGAAACAACAAAGCATTTCTTCCAGTAATTCTGCAGAGCTTTCTAACTGTGAAGCTGAAGCAAATACCTTAATAACGTAAGAGTTGTAGCTTAATTTCCAATACAGTAACCTAATAATAGCGCAGTTCACTAAGAGTTGTGGTTGTAGTATTCTGCCATCATTAACTCTGCTGTTTATACCTAGTAAGAAAGAATGGAATTGCCAGTATCACACGAACTTTACCGTCTACCGCCATCGTCTCTGTAGCTGCTTAGCTTACATGACACAACAGTGTTTTTCTGTCTCAAAGCCCAAACCCAAAGCTATTTATTGTGGTGAGTAAAAACCTGACACTGTGGTCTGATTATGTTCTAAAACGTGCACCGTTACATAGCAGGCTTTCTGTACATGCACAATACCTGCCTGCAGCACAGCACAGCTGAAAAGCCACATATCCAGAACAATCTCATCTATATTACATACAATAAACATGGTATTAAGGTAGTAGAGATGCACCAATCCCAGTTTTTCTCTTTCAGCATCAATTCCAATACCCGAACTCTGGGTATCGTCCGATACTTAGTACCGATCCGATATCAGTAATTTTTTAATTTATTTTTTTTTAATTCTGTATTCCTCACTGTATCTAACATGAGGCTGTAACTAGAGCAAAAATGTAATAAAATGCAAATTAATGAAAAAAAATTTTAAAAAAAAAATACAAGAATGACTTACTAAACAAACTTTATTAATAAGCTTCTGGATAATGGAACAGCTAAATAAACAGCAATTATAATTCCAGTGTAAACGTTTCAGTGCAACAATGAAGTTCTGAAATCTAAACATTCAAAGAACGTGTGAGTTCACCCCTCGAAACTTTAGCTTTGCAAATATTTCAAGCTGTTGTGCTATTAGCAGCTGTATCAAGCATGAAATAATCTGTTATTAGCCTGCATGAGTCATACTGCTTGTCTTGTTATCTGACATTTAAATAGAGTTTTTAAAATGAGGCAACCTTATTATTTATGTCTTATTTAACCACAGTATTCGAATTCATTTTGACTAGAACTTCATGATATTGATAATGCAAACATTTGAGGGTTTTTCGCTTGCAAAGCTGGTACAGTACAGGGAAAAGTTCCTGCACGCACCACAGCACAGAGAAACAACTGTGGCAGATTTCATGCTTCCTGATTTTATTTGCTTAAACAAGTTCGCCTGCAATGTGATCATTCATAACTGTTAGCTCTAAGAGCTCCCTGTCCTGTCAATCAATGCTGCGTTCACATATTTGCATTGAAAAACACCTCATAGTGTTTTGTGGCCGACGGTGATATGAAGCCCCACAAATTGCCATGCTGACTGCGGTGCTGGTAAAAATGGATGAGTATCAGATGAGAGCTGTAGCTGAAGAAATACACTTATTTAAGTTGTACAAAATCAAGAAAACATTTTGGACTTATCTATTCTTGCACAATACTGATTTCGTCTGGAACAACGAGACATTTGGTGACATTTGGGTTTATTACACCGCTGTGGTCGACGTCAAAAGCTGGGAAAACTGAACTCTTGACAGAGTCTGCAACTGCTGCTGCTGGCAGTACCAGAATTTTCCATTGCAGCTCTGCTGAAACAATGAAATATCCGTTTTGCCGTCACCCATTTACCACAAACGTGTGAATGCAGCGTCAGAGACAATAAGGAATGTGTATCAGACAGATCTGGCCAATATCTCATCAGTGCTGATTTGATCCAGAGTATCGGATCGGTGCGTCAGTATCATGTAAGATATCACATCACCCAATGTTTAAGGTTGTTCTCACACCCAGCTTGCTTGCTAAAGCCCGGGCTTTTGTGATATTGTGTCGCATTCTTCTGGTTTGGTTGGTTTCACACTGTGACAGCTAAAGTGCACCACATCACACATGTGGGTGGTCATGGTCAGAAATCTGTTATGCTATAAGTCAATGAGAAAACATGGCAAAAATGCAGGATGATTTTTCGTAATGGCTGTGCGTAAGACTGCACACGCAACAAAAACTTTTCTTCAAATTCAAATCACCAAAACTATGAAGGTCTTTACTTACAGCCACAAATGGAGAATTTATATTAAAAGTGTAGATTTTGTAATTTCTTTGCTTATTTGAATGAGCTACGCACGAGAACTAAGTAATACAAATTCACACCATGCTTTTCCATTTCTGGAAAAGGCTGTGACTTTTAAGGGTTAAGCAAGACTGGACCTTGATAAAGTACCCGGAGGCATTTGACTGATGGAGGCATTATGGCTGTGGGGGGAAAGAGCAGGGCAAAGTAGAGGATAATGAGATTTGGTGTCAGCATGTAGCCAGACAGCACATGGGTGCAAAATGAATGGGGAACGGACTGATCGTGCCAGAGAATGAAAGGGGACGGTCCGCGAAAGCCATCTGTCTGATCTCTTTAGTCCGCAGATCAATTACCTCGCTGGTGCTTTTGGCCTGTCGCTCATTACATCAATACTCAGTGGTAGAAGAAAAAAAATTCTAAGGTTTTTCCTTGAAAAATTCATATAGAAAATTCTACTTTCTATTAGCTTTGAAAACCTGTGTAACAGACTGACAGTTCATTTAAAATCATGGCCCAAGGAGATATATTAGCGCTGTTATTATGTGCTTGAAAGTGTCATGCGATACCTTTGGAAAGTGAAATATTGCAGCCGTGCAAAGAAACTGACTAAATTAAAGACAGTGGAGACGATTTATTGTCACTGTGGGGTTTCGTTTGTGACTCTGATGTCTACGCTAAGGATCACAGTAATAAAGAACAGAATAAAACTGAAATAATAATAATAAAGATTAGAATAAGAGTCTGCGATGGAGGGGCGACCTGTCCAGGGTGTTTCCTGCCTTCTGTCAAATGGCCGCTGGGACAGGCCATTGTTTATTCAAAATATGCCAAAAGTACAACAGCGAAACAGGCACTGAATACTTATTAAAGAATAATTCCAAATAAAAATGAATTGTTTTAGGTCGTTTTTCTTTTTAAAACTGCCCATTTGGAATCTATAGGCCAGTGTTTTGTGTAACCACTGGCCTATAGATTGCTGTTGGGGGTAGAGGGTCAGAACGCACACTGTTGCAGTGCATGCTGGGGACTGTAGTGCATCTTTAGGGTGAAACGGGCTAATAAGAATAGAAAATCATTTTGCAGGCCGAACAGGACTGTGTCACAGGCCGGATTTGACACATGGGGTTTGCTTTCTTACCCACATTTTCCTTTCAGCATAAGTGCTGCTATGTTTCTCCACATTCCAGAGGAAATTAGGCAAGTTGAAAAACAGCCAGGATTTAAAAGGGTAGAGCCACATTCCCACGTAGTGCAAATCCCTTCAACCGTCCAGTAAATTTTTAATGAAGAGTGTTGCAAATTAAAGCCACAACTAAGAGAAAAGGGCTCCTCTTCAAATGCAGTGCTAAGAATCTGAAGAAGACCATGAAAGTCATAATATTCAGCCCCAACTGACGCTCAAGACTGAGATACAGCATATTTACAGCTCTGATGTGGAGTGAAAATATGCACAGCCAATTTCATGGCAACTCGTGCATGCTTGTGTACATACAGGGTGCTCCATTAGGTGTTTTTGCCTGTTGGATGAAATCAGATGCCTTCATAAATCAATATATGGAACACACAGAAAGCCACACAAAGCTGTTTTGACAGAACCTGCCTTTTTACCCTGATGTAGAGTCAGCTGTCCATTATTAACAGCAACCACTGAAAGAGAAAATGCTAAACTGATCCCAGATATGAGGTAATAGGGAACAAAAGATTTTGGCTAAGAAGACTAAGCCAGGTTTATTCCACATCAGAAGCAGAACAAAGCAACCCCACTTTAGCACAGAATGAGAGCGGTCTATAAAACATGACACTGTTGAGAGACACTGCCCCCTGCCGCCGACACAAGTGTACTGCAACAAGTCTTTATTATCCTGCATCCTGTGCTCTGTTTAAAGCACTATTGGATCTTGGTTTGTTTTAGAAGCTGAGGTTCTGTCACCTAATGTGTGGGATTTGACAGGCCAGTTCGTACAAGATATAAGCACCTGTTTCATTTCTTCAAATTTTCATATACAGCCCAGACTGAATGCTCACTGTGTGGACATCACATCAGCGTTACACCACAGGACACATTCAATAACAACAACAACACAGCACAATGCAGCTGATATGGCAAAAATGTAATATCAAGATAATTCAAGCAATTTTCATACACAGCATGTCACAATATTGATTTTTTCTGGCATCTGACAAGTTGGAACAGGCAAACTAGTACCACATTCAACAATACTATCAAAAACTATGAATCTAGTGATTCATATTCAAAATTTCGGCTCTAAATTCAATTAAATGGTCTATTTAAGTTTTTTTTTGTAATCAAACATGCAATTGGGAAGTTGGTTTTTTTAAGTACTGCCAATAAAAAAAAATCATACTGTGACACCTTATGATGTAATTTGCCAGGATAGCGATAAACAATGTCATAATGCCAAGACCTATATTGAAACACAACTACTATTACTGAGAGAACTCAGGTTTAGCCAATTACAGATGCCCATTAACTCCACAAACATCAAACATACTGTGAAACTGTAAAAACTGTATGCAGATTTATACAGGACTAAAAACAAAGATCAAACTCCAGGTCTTAAGGCTTAAAGGCCTCTAAACCTTTTTGTGACTTCATTCCGTTTACTGCTACACTTCTCCAAGACAATCAGAAGTAGAGTATAACATCACACTTACTGTGTTGGCCAGATCCAGATAGCCTCCACCTACAGGAGCGCTCCGTCCTGAGGGTTGTGAGAGGAGCTTGTGCAGGCTCGCTGGATGCTCCAGAACACTGCTGGGCTGTTCCAAAAACTTCTGCAGTAGCACAGAGGACTGCTGCCGCTGCTGCTGAGGAGGAGATGGCAGGTCCGGACTTTGCAGGTCTCTGGCCCCCGAGTCATACTCCCAGCTTTCTTTAGCCGCCGAGAGCGCACCTGAGGAACACAAACATGTTTCAGATGAGCGCTGTGGGAAGTGAATATCATACCTCCATTTTTCCTGATTTTACTTTTCTACATCATTTGAGCAGCAGCAGCTGCTTCTAATGTGTGAAGATTAAATGACGGATATACCAGTAAAAATGCTTCAAAATTGATTGGAACAAAATTTCCTTACATGGACTTAATTAAATGTAAAGAACTTAATTAAAAGTAAGGAAAGGGTAGTACCTTCAAAATGGTAACATTACACCATTTTGGAGGTACCTCACTTTCTTCACTTTTAATTAAGTTCTTTACTAAATTAAACTACTTGATACTTTTTCTCAGAAACGTTATGAGAGCTAACTACGACCAGTGTAATTACTACTGGTAATTACACTGCATATTCCAACTGCAATACAGTAGTCAGTAGCTAGTACAGAATTTCTTCGTCTGTGCTAAAGTACACTATTGCCTTCAGCATGGAGTAAAACATTCAGAATTCACTCTTAAATGGTTTCATTTCCCATTTACAAATGTAGCTTTTTCTAACTCCTCCACCCACCCAGACTGTTCTCGCTGCTAGTGGGCCAGGAGGCGATGCGTTCTCGGAGCTTCCTCTTGTCTGAGTCGTTGGACAGGAGGGACAGCAGGCCCTCCTCTTTGCGGATTTCGCTGACCAGCTGCATGCGGCAGCGCGTGAAGTCCTCAAACGAAATCCTCCCCAATTCATCCGCCCCAAGTTGACACATGATCTCAGCCACAGAGTCCTCCATGTTCAGCTGCCTGCACACCATTAACAGGTCATTCCTGAATGAGAAGGAGGGAAAGAAAGAAAGAAAAAAGAAAGAAAGAACATGGTATTATTAACAAATAATCCCCGGGGAGTATTATTTAACTATTTCACCCTAAAGTTCTGGAGCTTCAAAGTTCACAGCTCTCCACAGAAGGGGGACGGACGAGCCACTGGGCAAGGCGAGAAAAGGTGCCCCCTAAGCCAGATACACTGAGTGGGGACGAAGGGGTCCTGATACCAACAGGTATTGAGTCAGGACCTGGCTTGTTCGAAACGTAGACCCCAGGGGAAGCGATGAGTGAAGTCTCGTCTGGCCAAGTGAGGTGCCTCCACAGTTATTCAGGGAAAAGCCGTGCATCTTCAGGTTTCCCATGGCCTAGTAGGTCAGGCAAGGACTCATCCGAAGCATCCGAGAGAGCACTTTAACCAGCAGTTTGGAGCTGATGTGTTGTTGCCCGTGGAGGACTAGAGGTGGGGACTTTACAGTGTACCCTTTTATACTGTACACAGAAAATCAATAATTTGCAAACAGTTTGACCATTTTGCCATTTTCTCCTCAAAGACTTGTAAAGGTCAAGCACACCAGACACATTCTGCTTCTGTGAGTTTTCCCAGGATAAGACTGTTTAGTGTGTGATGATTAGCTAAAGACGCTCTCTCAGCCAGGTGTCAGGACCGGGCAAATATTTACTCACAGTCTATTAGAACAGCTTTGCTTTGATGCTTAACAGCACTTAACACCCAAAAAACTCTCGGTCGAGATGAGGTCAAGTTAACTTAATACACAAGAGTGTATTAAAACAACAGCAGATAATGCTGGCCTTTCAACATCACTTATATCACCAACCAATTATATTACACTGACATAACTGTGTTATTCAAGTTACGGCACATTTTATACTTTATATTTGATTTTTTCCAAATTTCAGCAAATAAATAGAAACTTTGCAAAACAAATTGCAGGAAAATGTCATATTTAAGTGTGTTTTGCATAGAGGATGTGTTCACTTATTTTACTAAAAAAAAAAATCACAACTGGCCAGTAGTGTTCAAACTTTTGCTTCGGAAAACAGACTTCCAGTGAAGTCTCTTTCAAACAGAAAGAGACTTCTAGTGGCTCCCAGTGAAGTTCTTCAAGTAGCTTATTGTTCAAATTTTTTGTTCTTTCTGTTTCACTCTGTATGGTTTTATTCGTTCAATAAAAATGTTTTTAAAAAAGTAAATATTTCCAGTTTTGAGTTTTTGCCTATAGTACTGTGCAAAAGTCAGAGCTGAATTTAATTTCCAGTCAAACCAGCCATAAAGTGTGAGTTACTGATTTTTCACCATCAGGAAAAAAGGAGAAAACAAAGAAATGTTTAGGGATATTCTTCCACATCTCCAAAGTTCAGTCTTAGAAGCTGGTTGCACTTTCTGCTTTTCATGATCCAATTAATTCCAAACACATTCAATGAGGTTGAGGTCTGGGGTGGCCAGTCCATTGTTCTGAGAACACCAGCAGCTTCTTTGTTTGATTAGTATGTCTTGATTGCCTCAACAGTGGGCTTGGGGTCCTTATTTTCACCAGCATTCACGATGCCTTCAATCAAAAACAAATCACCAACACCACTTGTTGATATATAACAACTAGCAGTAATTATTACTTAATAACTACTGTTATGGAGAAGCTGAGTTTGTGCTGAGTCAGAAGATACAGATTACTTGATAACAGTGTAACACATCAGCAAGATACAGTGGAAAATATAGAGATATGCCGAGCCATCTGCTCTTAGGCTTAGGTTCAAAAAGCCCCCGAGCTGCTGATCACTGTTTCAACGCAAAAATAACATCATCAACTGCTGATATCACAATGATAACACAGCACAGTTTACTGTTTCCCAGCTCTTAAACTCCTCTTCTAATTAGGAAATCCTTCGTGACCTGAATCAAAGTGCTGTAGTTCTTCAATGTCCTGACTGTAACTGTAATAATAAACTTTAGCACAGCACCACTGGCCTAATTCTACTGACTCTACCAGAATACACAGAAATCACAAGCTGTGGATTTGTGCAATAATACTAAAAGAGGACCAACGCGAAGCTAAAAAAAAATAGGGGCCAATTCTCAGCTCAGTCTGCGTCGGCTAATACCTTTTAAAAGCCTCAAGCAGAAAGCTTTCAACCCTGGAAAGACCATTTGTCTGCTGGAGTTCATATAAGCGCCAATAATTAGAGGGTTTGGCAGTGATTGTTAAGTGTTGTGCTAAGCTGTATCTTAATAACTTTCTCCCAAGCAGGCCTCCAAGGCCAGTGAACAGGCTTGCAGGCATTTCCTGTGAGTAGAGCTCATTTCTGAAGGCGCTTTTGGAGGTGACGTCACAGGCGTGCGTTTGATGTTCCTCAGACCATGCAGCAGAACACTTTGATCACGCCTTGATCACACTGAGGTGAGAGGATCGTGGTGGTGGTGTGGAGCACAGCACAGCAGAACCCACACTGCTACATTCACTCTTATAGGGTTCACTAATGTCCAGCTGGCCTGTGTGAACGAACACCGAAATACATATGAACATTTTGTGACCTACACCAACTTTAATGCTGCACTATGTAAGATCTTTTGGTAGAATTGAATAAAGTAGTATTACTGAATCAGGAAAGTTAAAAAACGTGCGCATGCTGCTGCGAGACACCCTGTGAAGCTTGTATTAATAATTTAAAAGTCGAGTTGCATTTCGCAGGGGGTTTTTCGGACCATGTACGTCTTAACGTCACACGCGCAGGCTCAAAAAGAAGGTTTGGCTTTTAGTTTAGGACTCAAATCTAAAAACAACATTATACCTCACACCCTCACTGACATGTCCTTCAACAAGTTATCTCTTTGAATACTCTTTCGATGCGCCTCATCTGGAGCTCCCAAGTCTAAGCGATGAGGATACCAATAGAGAACGACTGGCCTCACCCTCTCTGGGTGGGTAGGATGGCCCCCTTTCCCCCCAATCACTCAAAGCGATGCTAGTCAGCGCAGGCGTCTGTTAGCTGACATAACAGATCTGGCGGTTGGCGCTTTCCTCCGATCACATTTGGCTGTCCAATGACGTTGCATGAGCAGCAGTTCGAAAAGATGCGGTGCCGCTTCACAGCTCTCGGAGGAAGCCTGTGCAAGCCTTCGCTCTCCTAGCGCTGGTGGCATCGTGTAATCTGGGGGGTCCTAACTAGCGGGTGGAATTGGAGACGACAAAAATTGGGGAGAAAATCGAGAAAAACAGATTGATCTGCCTGGGGAAGAGGTCTGAATCACAACCGACATTACAAAATGTAGAATCAATAACAAGATTCGTTGCCCAGGATTTTTTATTATCGAGGTTTAAAGTAACACTGATGAATTGTTGCAGCCCTAACAAATATTGTAGCAACGATGGCGGAACTAACCCAGCACTCCCACCGCACCCCCTGTTAATTACCTCTATTAATTACTTCTATTACCTTAACCTCTTTAACCCCTTAATTACCTCTTTATTTTTTATCAGTTCTATCCATAGAAAAAAGGGCTTTTACTTTATCAAACAGAGATGTTTAGGAAGTTAGGAATGCTCTGCTTACCGCTGCAGTCAGCGAAACGTCGCCGCTTCCAGTGCCAAAATTTACGTCACAGCTCCATTGAAAACAAAGGAATGTTTGGTTTGTCCATCTACCACAAACCAGTTATTCACCAATTGATGACAGCTGCTTATCGGTCAAAAGACTTTTCCAAAATGTGGAAAATTATATATATATATATATATATATATATATATATATATATATATATATATACACACACACACCGATACAGATGTGTGTAACCAACATTTTGGTCGACTGCTACACTGTATGTTAGGGCTGCACATTATACTGCTATTCATTACTGCAGTATTGGCTTTTTCAATGTTAACCCAGAATGCAGCAATATGCAAATTAGCTCTTTAATAATCAGACATTCCAGATGAGTTTCTGTGGATGTTCTGATGAATCAAGGGATTCAATTAATCCAGTAATGCCTTTGGTTAAAATAATGCAGGTCAATCAGGGGTGGGCAATACAACAATATGACTATTTTAATATATCAGGATAGAATAAGCCACAATACGCCTTTTCAGAACATACTGTGGATATGGTCAGCACTTAAGGAGAACTGACCAACTGCGTGTTTCGTTAAAAAGAGAGCATAGTGCTAATCAGTAGGAATTTTTAAACACCACAGTGTCACTGCTGGATAGTCAACCAACCAAAATTACCAGCCATCAGTGTCCTGTGACCACTGATGAAGGACTAGAGGATGACCAACACCAACTGTGCAGCAGCAGATGAGTTACTGTCCCTGACTTCACATCTACAAAGTGGACTGACAAGGTAGGAGTGTCTAACAGAGTGGACAGTGAGTGGACACAGTGTTTAAAACCTCCAGCAGCACTGCTGTGTCTGATCCACTCATACAAGCACAACACACACTAACACACCACCACCACGTCATGATCCATCACCTAAATAATCCTCTGGGGTGGTCCTGACCAGTAAAGGACAGGGTAAAAGGGGGATATCAAAGCATGCAGAGAGACAGTTGGACTACAGTCTGTAACTGTAGAACTACAAAGTGCACCTATATAGTAAGTGGAGCTGATTAATGTTATGGCCGGTCTATATTGACAGTTTACATTCATATAATGAACTACGTTAACTTTCTTATCATGATGTTAGTGAAACAGTACGGTCTGCTGCAGCTGTGCACCTTCCTACTGTAAATGATGTTATTGGCTCCGTAATGTCCTTAATTTTTGCTGTAAATCGCAGTTTTTTGGATAAACTGTAGGTTAAGTTGTAGCAGCTAAGTTAGCAGCTAGCCAGGTACAGTCACCACATTCCAGTGAGCTCGGAAGTCACAGCTAAACTAACTTAAATCTGACTCATTTAGCACGTTTAAGTTACACTAATACATTTACGAGCTAAACATCGCCTTAAACTTGGTTGAACAACAATGTCTGACTGTAAGAATCAATAACTAACCGGATACCGTAACTGCCGTTAGCCGAAAAAAGGTCAAAAAGTGAAGCCCAGCTCGCTGACTTTCAGCCTCAAACCCCCAGAGAGCGAACACGAAGCTAATTTACAGTTAGCCGAATTTTAATTAGATGTAGAGCAGATTTTAAGAGGATAACTTCTGTCAGAAAGTGTAACTCCAGTCTGCCCCAATGTCTGCTGTCATTTCTGTCATGTTTACCTGTTAATGTACCCATCTCCGTCTCCGTCGCAGGTTTGGAACAGGCGGCGGATCCGCTCCTCTTCGCCGGTGCTGGATGTGTCGCTGCTGCCGCTGCTGGCGCTCGCTTCGGCGGCCGCCGCCATGATCTCTTCCCCGGCAGGAGGGAGAAACAAACACGGCTCCAGATGCACCGTTTACATCCAAGTCACACCGTCTTACACTTCTAGAGAACTAAATAGGGGTTCGGTTTGAATATGAAGGCTGAGTTTCAGGTCATTTCGACCTGACCACGAAAAGTTGTTGAGTTTTGGGGTGTTAAAAAAAGAGGTGTAACGTTAGCTTGAGGTAACAGTTGGTGAAAGTGGAGTAAAGTGGGCTGGTCCTTCAGACTGAGGGGCTGTAAAATTCAAACCTACTCACATCCTATCATGGCACTAACACTGGACTGTTTAAAAGTAGGGCTTGAACTAGGATGCTGGAATAAATAAGATGGAGAGTTTATTAAGTTTAGCACATTCCTGCTATTTTCACATTTTCACTTAAACGCTGAACTGGCGAACATAAATGTGAGTTTGTATCGATACCGTTACTACTAATAAACACCAGAGGGAATTACAGTCTTTTCAAAATGTCTGAATAATTCATTCATTGAGGTCTAAACTGTCATTCAGAGTGTTTTGATGAAACTTACTGACTCAGATTTCTTTACAGTGGTGCTGATAGGAACCAGGGGTCGCCATGACTACAGCAATATAGCCATTTTATTTACTAAGTAAAACCACCAGTGAACCTACACGAGTCTTCTGAGTTTTATATGTGATGTTGATGATGACAACATAATGATAAATCTGATAATAGTAACTTTTCTCTTGGGACTATTTTACCTCAAAACGCCCTGCATGTACCCCTCCGCCATGGATGGATTAAAAATAAGTGGATTCCAATCTATTTTAAGCCAAAAAGTTAATCACAAAACTATCATAAAACATTTTCTCAGACATCAGGCAGCGAATTTATAACCATTTCATGTAATAATTTTCCGTGAGCAGCTTTTAGAGGTGGACGTCTGGTTCCTATCACCGCCACTGTGAACAATTCTGACTAAGTTTCTCTAAAACGAAGCGTTTCACACCAAAACCGCTCTGAATGACTTTGTTTACATCTCAACTATTTAATTATATGGATTTTTTAATCGGTGGAATTTCCTTTTAACACTGAGCTTATTTAAAGGTAGTACTTGAAGTCGGATGCTGAAATAAATCATCTGGAAAGGTTATTTAGCTTAGCTCATTCCTGTTATTCACTACTGTTAAAGGAGGCCAGCTTCACTGTGTTATGAGGGCTGATACGTTTTTCACTAAATCAGTCTCTGTACTGGAGCCCCTGTTATCCTTTAAATAGATCCATCACCGCCAACATGTAGATATTAAATTATATTACATTTATACAGAAATCGCTCTGTGTTCTGTGTTTCTGTCTCTGCGGTTGGACATAAGAACCGAGTCCAGGTCCTCCAGTGAAAAAGACCCACTGGAGTTTATTGGAGACATTTCAGCTACAATTCAGGTTTTAGAGAAAAAGAATGTGACTCCCTTTGGTTCTTTTAGTAAAGATATAAAGTTAAACAGTTCTACATAAAGCCACATATAGAAGAACAAGAAAGAACCATTTGAATGTATTAATAGTTTTTGTGTGGTTAAACTCTATCATAACAAAATCTGGAGCAAAAAAAGGAGCCAAGGACAGACGCTCAAGCGGCTCCAGAAGAGCCAGAAACGGACCTTCATAACAAAGAGAGCATAGTGGAGAACACAGGGGCAGTCACACACAGATCTGAAGACACAGATCTGGACACTCCATGAGACACTGAGACTGAAGAGGAGGAGAGGATGAGACTAGGGAGGAAGAAAGAGAGACAGAGGAGAGAGGAGGAAAGGAGGGAACGAGAAAAGCAAAGGAAAGAGGAAGAGGAGAGAAGAAATGAGAGAGAAGGAAAGGAAGGAGCGAGAAACGCAAAGAAAAGAGGAAGAAATGAGAGAGAAGGAAAGGAAGAAACAAGAGAAACGAAGTAAAGAGGAAGAGCAGAGAAGAAATGCTGAAGGAATGCTGGAGAAATGGCGGTCAGAGCTTTAAAAAGAGCAGGAGAGAAAAAATAAAGTGGTCATGCAGAAGAAAAAGAGAGCGGAGGAGGAAGAGAAGAGAATAAAGTTGGAAGAGGAAAAGAGAAAGCAGGAAGAGCGAGAGAGAAGACAAAGGAGGAGCAGAAGAGAGAAGAAGGGAGGAGACAGGAGGAGGAGGAGAGGAGGAGAGTGGCTGAAGAGAGAGAGAGAGAGAGAAAAGAACGAGAGAGGACAGAGAAAGTTGTGGAGGAAAAGAAGGAGAAAGAGGAGGAAGGACTGTGTTGGGCGGTGAAAAGAATGGAGGAGGAGAGGACGAGAGACATAATTGAGGGGAAGATGAAAAGGAGTGGCAGAGGAGGACGAGGCAGGCCATGGAGGAGGAAAAGAGAAAGCAGCTGTGGAAGGAGCACCTTCAGCGCCTGGGGGAGTCTAACTGCTCCTCCAGCTCGGAGGAGAACTTGCAGTTGGACAGAACCCAAAAGAACCGCCCCGTCATCCAGAACCAGGACCAACAACTGCAACAAGACACGCAGGATAAACACAACCAAGCTCTGCAGAAGGTGGGGTTCTCACAGTGGTCCAGCTGTAAACAGGTTTTGGGGGTGGTGGGTTGTAGGTCTGGGCAACATCTAATAATAATAACTACAATCATTTCTATATTTCTGTTTCTTTATTTTATGGCCACAAGTTAAGTTTCATTTGGCTATGAATGAATATATTGAGGCCACAAGCTAATATATTAAGGCTGCAAATTATTATACTGAGGCCACAAGTTAATATATTGAGGCCACTAATTAGTATATTAAGGCTATAAGTCAACATGTTGAGGCCACAAATTAATATATTGAGGCCACAATATATTGGCACCACAAGTTAGTATACTGAGGCCACAATATATGGAGGACACAAGTTAAAATATTAAGGCCACTAATTAATATAGTGAGGCTATAAGTTAATATTTTGAGGCCACACATTAATATATTGAGGCCATACATTAAGTTTTTTGTGGCCATGAATTAATATATTGAGTCCACATTTTAATATATTGAGGCCAGCAATTAATATGTTGTGGCAAATAATTAACATATCAAAGCCAAAAACTAATATATTGAGGCCCTCAGTTAAGTTTCTCAGGGCCACGTGGCCTCAGTATATTAATTTCTGGCCATGATAAACTTGTGGCCATGATAAACTTGTGGCCACACCTTAATAAAAATAATCCCCATATCTCCTTAGAGACTTTGTACTAACTACATTTGATTCACAGTGTATACTGTCTCTTATTAATGAATATTAATATTGTACTGTAGCGCCTGTTGCAGGTAGCAGCTGAAGCAGCCAGACGGAGGGAGGAGAACAGGAAGGCTGAAGAGGCTGAGGTGGACAGGGAGCTGCTCAGGAGGAGAGAAGAGGAGGCTAAAAAGCCAAAGACAGCAGGAGGACATTTGATGAAGCTGATGAGAAAGACCTATCAGAGAGGGGTAGACTACACCACACAAAACAACAGTCCCTACCAGCAGCACCGGCTGCAGCTGAAGAAGCTGGGCCAGGAGCGGGAGAAGACCGAGAAGGAGCTGCTGGAGACGCTGCTGGAGAAAAGGAGGAAGGCTAAGCAGCCCCAATGAAGACAGCAGAAGAGGAGACAGAACATCACTGTAGAGGTAAGTAATCTGATAAAGAACACATCACTGTCAGGAGAAAAACTTCTACCTCCAAGAAGGAACTTTTAGAAGATGAAACAACCTCAACTTTTAATGTTACAGTAACAAGATTTTATTCATTTCTATTGATCCATTCATCATGAAATGTTCACAACCATAAAGGGCAGCTGGTTTTATCTGACAGTGATGAGTCATTTCACTTTCAGGGGTCTGTGCTCTGATGAGCCTCTTCAAAGCTGCTAATATTGAAATTCTTTGTTTTTATTTCAGATTACTCAAAAATCAAAAGCATGAACATCACTGAAGAACCTCCTTCCATTCATCATTCTAATCATCTCTAATACCACTATTATTAATAAACTTGCCTCGTGCATCTTAACTCAGTGTGGGTTATTTTAAAGGGGAATTCCACCTATATTTCTAAAATTTCTGTATAATTAAGATGTAAATAAACTCATGCAGAGTGTCTTGATGTGAAATGCTCCATTTTAGAGAAACTGTGGTGCTGATAGGAACTGTCAGTGTTTCAGTAACTCTGAGGAGGATTTGAGAGTAAACACGTCTGGATTGATCTTTCAGGTATTTTCTTCTTTCTTTATGAACTTAACTCAACAGTCAGGAGTGTCTGCTGTCTGCTTTGGGCGAGAGTCGACTCCAGCTCCTCAACCTAAATCTGTATTTTAAAGGGTTTCAATCACTTACTGTTTTCAGCTGTACATGGACATTTGAAGCTCATAACTGCTTGTAACAGACATTCAGGTAAGATATATTTTAAAATTTTTGACGTGACTTTTTTATCCCTCCCTTTCAATGTTATGAGCAGCCATCACTGCTTATTCAAATAAAAAAAGCAAGGAAAACTCAGTTTCCCATGATCATCAGCCCTTCAGCTGACATACAGTCAAGATATACAGACATACACAAGGAAAGGCTTTAAAACGTTCCCATCACTTCATAACACTAATTTAGGCAATTCTTACCTTTCCTGAGTTCTGAAAGTAACAGCCTCTACTCTTCTGGGAAAGCTTTACACTATATGTTGGAACATCGCTGTGAGGATTTGACTGCATTAAGCCACAAAAGCTTTAGTGAGGTCAGGTACTGATGTTGAATGATTAGTTCTGGATCACTCCAACTCATCCCAGAGGTACTGGATGGAGCTCCATCACTGCAGAGAATGCAGTTCCTTTGCTCCGTTGCCCAGTGCTGGAGGGCTTTATACCCATCAGGCCGATGCTTGACACTGGAGACGGTGACCTTTGGCTCATGTGTGGCTGCTCCAGAGCGTCCCATTCTAATAGTCAATACTTTACATGGCACTAGTGTGCACAACTGAACTTGTGTGCCAGTAATGGGTGCACCTTAAAGTTAAATTTACTAATTAAAAGAGGTGTCTGGATACATGGAGTTGGTTTTCCAGACAGGGATTAAGCCTAGGACTGGTCTACATTTCCCTATCAGCAGAGACTCTCGATTCAGAAGGCTGTCTAGTCTAGAACATCAAGGACGCAAAGTGTCAGCTAGAAGAATATAAAGACCCCTAGTTTTGGGCTGTGGAGCAGTGGAACCGTTAACTGAACAAAGATCCTCCATTGAAAGGAAACTGCAGTCCAGGACTAGGCTTAATCCCTGTCCAGGAAACCGACTCAGTGTACCAGACACAGTTTTTCAAATAATAAGCTTTACATTGAACAACAAAGAACACCACACACACACAACTGTTGATGTTAATTTGTTCTTTTTTTTCAGTTATCTTCAAAAACATCTGTACATTATTGGTCAAAAAACTTCCAACAGAAAGAGAAAATAAAAGAAAATACAACTTAAGAATAACAGTAACACAAATGGCTTCTATGATGTGACATAGCTGGTGTGCGAAGTTTGATTAGAGTCTTTATTTATGGCTCTTGCTGATGTTGTTGTAACCCACTCCTACGCAGGTCATCAGGACTTTATCTCCTCCTTTCTGTTCATCCTCGTCTGCTTTCTGCGTCTCGATCTTGAACATGATCTGGAAGAAGTCCCGAATGTGCCGGAGGAACTCGATCCTGCAGGACACAACATTCTCTCAGCACAAGAATATACTGCACTTTCCAGCTCAAACACAAAACCAACCTTGCTGTTTCTTGCACACACAAACACACATGGCATCATGGACCTGAAAGAAGGCAAACATCTATGTAGCTGTGGACGGGGGGCAGACAGCAGGTCAGAGGTTGCTTTGGTCTTGCCGAGCTTTCTGCGTCACGACTGACCGTGACCTGGGACAATGCGTGCGTACTAGCACTGGTCACAAAGCTAGGGCACATGGGGGGGGGATACGGTGGCACAACCGACGGTTTGACAGAATATATTATGCACCACAATGAAAATCTGGCTGAAGCCAAAACTGAAATTCAGGACATGATAGGCCAAAAAAAAAAACCTGACAACAGATACAAGCAGTTTACATTAAATATACTTAGTAAAATGAGAACAGTATGTGCCACAAAATCCAGTGTACTGGAAACAGAGAACTGCTGGTCATCCAAGGCAATGGATTCAATTATTTTTCAGCCATATTTTCCACTTTGGCTGTCGATTGTGAATTTTTTTTGCTGTTTTAAAAACCTCTGAGGTGCTGAGACTCTTTAGACTCAACATGAACTGAAATTAACGTCCCTTGTAGAAACTGTGAAATAGTTCCAAACTGCCAAACTGTTTAAATGCATCTGCGCTGACCGCCACAGGAGAACGAAGTGTTTGTGAGAAATGGGAATTACATTCATTAAACACTGTTTGCTAGCTGTAGGCATATTTAATCTTAATTTATTTAGTGTTTTTAATTCTTACTTTGTTTTGTTTTCTCTTTTCGGTGTCTAAAATGTCAGTGCATTGCTACAAAATATAGTTTGTTATTTATTTGTGATAGCTTTTGTGGTACTGATATCAGCGTTAAAATGCAAATGATCCCTCTGACCAATTACAAAGAGATTTTTTTCTCATGAATTAAGAACAGGGGTTGGCAACCCAAATGTTAAGAAGAGCCATTTTGTCCTTTCAACAAAAATCAAACCACCTTGAGAGCCACATTTTATGTTCGTTTTACCATCTCGGCTGTAAATATGTCTCAGTATGAGCTAATGTACTAGTATAGACTAAAAAATATTATATATACAAAAACACACATTTACTTTGCTCTGCTCTTGTAAAATGTCTCTTAATGTTTGACTTTTACGAGGCTGAAGTCGCTTCTCATTCGCCAGCTACTTGTTCTAATTTCCCCGTTCCACCATAAATGGTGCCTGAACGTTAGAACGTAACTGCTGCACCATTTAAGGTGGAACAGAACCGAGAAACTGACTTCAGCCTTGCGACTTTGTAGTGTTTGTCAGTTTCTAGTTGCAGATTAAACGTATCAGGAAACCAGCTGGAGTGATTATAAACCCAAACAAGTCCATTTGTCTTTAAATTATCGATGTTTGTTTTAAATCTTTCTCTTTGCCATTTTTTAGCTTCTAGCTAGGCAAGATTGTTGTCTGTGTTGATATGGTGACCAGCGGTCTGCACGCCAATCTTCAGGGTTAAAGGGTGACTCTGCAGTTCTACATTAACTTCAGCGTTTAAGACCATTTATTGTTAAAACTGTGTTGAATGATCAGCAGAGCTTTATTTTACTGCAAAGGAGGATTATTTTATTTTTACCTACAAATTAACTAATAAAACTAATTCTGTCGTGGAGCCGCAACAGAGCAGTAAAAGAGCTGCATGTTGCCCCTGATCCAGACCTTCATGTAATCCAAGAAACAATTTTGGCCAAAATCTCTTTTTTGTGAGATTTTTATGTGAAATCAAGGCTTCACCAGCAGGCCCAGTGACAGATAACCGAGTTACCGCAGTAACAGCCCCCAGTGTCCTGCAAACCACAGCAAGACACTGGTATTCCTACACATGAATATAACTGAGCTTTCATACTTGTTGGGTGATGTGATATCCTACATTTGCTGTACCCAACATGTTCAACATGTTGTAGAGGCACCGCTGAGCCGCACTTGCTGAACATGCTTGTTGTTACAAATGGTTGCCCACAGTACAGTGCACATTTTCAGCTGTCACACAATCAGACCAAGCTGAGCAACTGCAGTGACCACAGCAGTGGATGGTGACATTTGTAATTCCATTCTTTCTTACAAGGTAAATTAGTTTTGTGGCCAAATTAAAGATAAATCACAATTTTTACTGAACTGGACTTTTATTATATTCATTTTTTGACGGAGATTAAGCTTCATCTCACACGCTGCCACTTTGTTTACCACCCTCATCCACTTCAGGGGTGTTTAAAGACTACCGGAAGAAAATTTGTTGCTGTTATTATTATTACCACTATTATTATTATTATTATTATTATTATTATTATTATTAATAGTAGTGGTAGTAGTAGCACTACACACACACACACACACACACACTTTCTCAGCCACTTATCCTCCTGGGTTGCGGGGTGAGTATTTAAATGATTCTGGCCAGTCCTAGCAGCAGTAACACACACGCACACACACAGTTTAGCCAATTTAATGTCCGTGATGACAGGCTGAGGGAGGAAATCAAAACCTTGAGCGGCTGAGTACATAATGGGGAAAATTAAGAACAAAAACATCCTCATGTCAGCTGGTGCAGATCCTTAAAAGATCCCTAAAATACATTGCTCATGTGAAAACACGAGCAACAGCAGACTAGCTGGCCACTGTAACTTAAACCTACCCAAATGCTGGTTGGCAGAGAGGAAGAGCATTGCGTTGGCACCGCCAATCTTCAGTTATCATAGTACTGTACTTGATCAGGACACAGCACCGGTACCATGATAACTGAAAATGGACAGTTCACGGTCAACTGACAGGCAATTCAGCTCCAAGAAGACCACTGAGGTGTCTCGCAGCACAAATATAGAAAGTTCTTCAAAAATTAAATAGGCTGTGGAGTATTATCCTTTACACTGTAAAGCATTTTACTTGTCAGCACAAAGGACAAATGCTGGGCTGCATCATTCAGAAATGGCAACGTTACACTGACCAGCCACTTGACTGAGTACACCTACCTCGTATCCACACTCTTTGTCCATTTTATCAGCTCCATTTACCATATAGGAGCACTTTGTAGTTCTACAGTTACAGACTGTAGTCCAATTGTTTCTCTGCATACTTTGTTAGCCCCCCTTTTACCCTGTTCTTCAATTGTCAGGACCCCCACAGGACCACCACAGAGCAGGTATTATTTGGGTGTTGGGTCATTCTCAGCACTGCAGTGACACTGACATGGTGGTGGTGGTGTGTTAGTGTGTGTTGTGCTGGTACAAGTGGATCAGACTGGAGTTTTTAAACAGTGTCCACTCACTGTCCACTCAATTAGACACTCCTACATTGTTGGTCCGCCTTGTATATGTAAAGTCAGAGATGACAGCCTTCACCAGTGATCACAGGACGCTGTTGGCTGGATATTTTTTGTTCTCAGTCCAGCAGTGACACTATGGTGTTTACAAACTCCAGCAGCACTGCTGTGTCTGATCCGCTCATATAAGTGCAACACATATTAACAAGCCACCACCACGTAAAATACTTACTCTGTGGTGGTCCTGTGGAGGTCCTGACGACTGAAGAACAGGGTAAAAGGGGGCTAACAAAGTATGCAGAGAAACAGATGGACTACAGTCTGTAACTGTAGAACTACAAAGTGCTCCTATATAGTAAGTGGAGCTGATATTGAGTAGAATTATGGTGGTGTACTTAATGAAGGGGCTGGTCAGTGTATGTTAAACAGGGGGTGACGTCTCTTCATGAATAGACAACAGAGTTGCTGTTAAAATTCTTTTAACTGCAGTGATTTTGCAGTCCTTGAAAGGCTACAATTGGTTACTGTTAAAGGGGAATTACACCAACTTTTCAAAATTTCTATATAATTGGCTCATAAGTCCAGAATAAGTCCAGGCTCACACTAAAATGAACTTATTTTGCTATAGTATTAATTGGCACAGTAACAATTGTACTTAAATTGTGCTGCTACATTATCTATGAATACACAAATAGTGGATGAGTATCATACAATACTCCATATTAAATGATCAATAACATCCCCAAATCCCTAATTTAACTGTAAGATGCTTAAAGACCATGTTGAAAACTAAGTCATGTTGTACATTAAACTACTAACTACTTGCATCTTAATCTAATCCATCACAAGAAAATGTGAAGTACACACACACACACACACACACACATATATACATAAACCCAAGGTCTGAACCGAGTTCTCTAGTTAGCTTTAGTTAGCCAGCATCGGACATGTTCTTAGGTGAGCAGGACTGTCACGATCATGAAACTTTAACTGATGAATAATTGTCATATGAATAATTACAATTAACAATTTTTTTACTGTCTTTTTGTTGATTGCGTGCAGCTATTAAAATACAAACCTAAAGTGGTCAAACTGGCTGATTAGCTGACACTGGTTTTGAAGTTGATACTGTGAGGACACTGTTGTCTACCCACAAATGTGTACAGGTACAAAGAATTATGTAAAGAATCAAGCAAAGCTCCACATTCTTCACAAGAGTGAAAATATAACCAAAAAACACCCATTTTGCTAGCATACATGCTAAAAACCTTAGAATCAGCTACATAGCTAACAAATAAATTCTACTTAGCTCTGCCCTCTGAACAGGTTACAGCACCAAGATACAAGTTGGAACATTTTTTTGTTTTCATAAGCCTCATAATGTATGTCAATGGATGCATTTACTGCTTTACATTTAGATTTATTTGCCTTAACTCAACACACCCAATTCACACTGTTTGTGTTGTGGCTTTATATGACTGGGAAATCTAGCAACTGTGGAAAATGACTGCAGTCAGCTTAAATAATTGCAATCATCTCAAGTAACTGTAATCATCTCACATAACTGTGCTCATCTTAAAAAAGTGCAATTAGGTGATTATGTAATAATTGTGACAGGCCTACTGAACAGCTCCTCTCTTCTATTTAGCAGCACTGTTTAACATGTATCAACTGTTAGATAGACGGTTTGACATTTATTGAACGATGCCTTTTGTACAGCATACACTCATTTGGTGATCATGTAAGTGAACTAATCCTTCAGATGGCTTCTGACCTTGAAATAAGGCAGAATGCGATTGCAAAGTACTGTTTTTGTTACTTAAAACCTATTTTCAATCTTCAAAATTTCATTACACAGACTTTTTTAAAAATTGGTGGAATTCCCCTTTAGGTCCACTGATCACTTCACTAATAGTCAAAATGATTGGTAAATTACATGATGATTAAATCCCAAGAGGAGTCAGTACCTTCAGCTCACCATGCAAAACAATGAGCTCGGACTCTATAAGGATACAGACACACGCAGCAGCAAAAGAAAAACACAGATAAGTGGGCAAAGGTCAATGGGAAACAAGTTTTTCCCCCAAATAAGGTGATGTTTACACCAGTTTTTCCTCTGATCAGCGACCTTTGTCTAGCACACAGTAACATGAGGAGGAGGGGCGATGAGGAGGAGAGAGAGAGACGTGGCTGACGGGGAGAGGGAAAGACTCACGTGTATGGGGAGAGGGGACCTAGGAGAGCTTTGGAAACATCTTGCTGGCCTAACGTCATGTACAGAAGAGCCAGGCTCTGGTTGTTTGAATCCACACAGCCGCCCTGGAAATAAAGAGAGATCAGTATTACTTCACGTATTCATAAACATTATTTATGAAATTCACATTTATAGAAGTGCAACTGTATGCAAAAGTCTGAACACCCCCAGGCAAGACACGTTTTGTTGATCTTCTAAGTGAAAATAAGCTAAATAAGCTAATAAAATATGCTAATGTTTGTGCACATGAGTTTAATATATTGAAAAAATAAATATGTACAATGCAAATGGTGCCATTATTTTTGCAAAGGCCACTTTTTTTTCTTTTTGTACCCCCCAATATGTTAATTTTAGCAATTAAACTGTAAGAAAAGGCCCAGAAAATTGAGAAAAACTGTGGTTTTTCATGATATGGGCTACTAATATAACAATGCAGTTATACAAGTCATCCTTTCTACTGTGGCAGGGGAAACTGCGCATTATTACACTGTTATATTGGCATTATTATATTGTTATTATGCAAAACTTTGCATCTCCATTTTTATCTTTTTTTTGCATAATTTAAAAACTCTATTTACTCTTTGTCTTAAAATCTCAAGACAAACAGACCAACAGAAATGGTCTAAAATGACTTGGGGACCTCATAACATCAACTTCCATTAAAGTTCTGAACGTTTTTTTCTTCTCTTGTAAAGTTTCATTTTGAAGATACAAGGTTTTGTTCTGACAAGGACAATATCGTCATCAGTTATCCACTGGCCAATCGAACATTTCTAGGGAGAAGCTCAGTTTTTGGCCAACTCTAGACAGTGACATATGGGTCATGTTTTCCTCCTCGAGGACATTCTAATTGGTGGAGGAATGTCGGACGGCTTACCAATGGCACTTTCCCCATTACTGCGAATATACAGGCCTTGTGTTAGGACACAGGGGCTAGTCTGGGCTGGACCACTCACGTGCCCAGTTTAGTGCTGCTGCGGGAACATCTGCTCAGCTTGCATATGATTCAATCACATAATCATATAAAGGAACTGAGGCTCCGTTGTTGACATAAGGATACAGATGCTGATGGGATACTGAGGAGAGATGTGCTGACCAGCTCAACAGCAAACTTGCAAGACAGCAAGCAGGCAAACAAACCTGTGAGAAGCATTCTCTCTCTGTTCTTGTCTAGTTATGTCTTTCCAGCACATGACTCTGTAATATCACACTGTTAACCCTTAGAAGCTCCAGCATGAAGAAAGCATGGTACATTTTTATGAATTCATGTTTAAAAGTTTGCAATGTTTTTAAATAATGAAACAAAACTGGTTACAGACTAGTGTATAAAAAGATTTTCATATGCTCGTCTTGTGCAACGTCACATTTCAAATAATTAGCAGGACACTAGAAAGCTGTAAAGAAATGTTACACGTATCCAGAACGGTGAACAGGTCTGTAGAAGACTCTAAATGACTGAGAAACCCACACAGCATCAAGAATTAAGTTAACAACAAAGTTAATATTCAGAATTCACCATATTTCACCAGTGAGGATCAAATCTCAAGGCAGATAACTTGACAAAAAGCGAATAAACGCAGATAATTGCATTAATCATTATATTATTTATTACATTATATCGCTAAAATGTTCACACGTCTACTGTTAGCTGCTGGCATTGCATTGTAAAAGTTAATAAAACTTGTAAGGTTCCACACAGCTTTAAAGAACGAGCCCTTCATCAGAAAAGCCTTCAGTCCGACAGATAGAACTAGGGGTGGGCAATATGACGATATTTTATAGTTATCGTGATAAATTGTGTCATAGTACGCTTTTCTGAGCATATCGTGGATATCATCAGTGCTTAAAGAACACTTAATAACTACGTTTCATTACAAAGTGAGTACAATTAGGCCTGTTTAACTGACTGCAGTTCAGTCTGTGAAATACTGAATAAAACCATAGTTTTAGGGATATTTTTACATTTTTAATATATCTCTACAGGTTCTATTTTGTCAGTTACAACTTATTTAGTCTCAGAAAAACTAAATATTGTGAAAATGTTGAAATATCGTGATAATATCTTTGTCATATGTTAAAAGAAAAGAGACAAAATAACTAAACAGCTGGCTAGTCTGTAGTTTATACAGTGCATGTCGCTGCTGTCGGCCAAAAACTTTGTATCTCCAAAATGGTAACTTTACAGGAGAAGGAAAAAATATTCTTTACTTTTTAATGTAAGTCAATGGAACCAGACATTTTTCCAAGTAATTTTGAGCCGTTTCTTTTGGTCCATTTATCTTGAAATTTACACACAATATGAAGGACAGTAGGTATTTTCAAATTACGCCAAAAACTGACAAACAACAAAAATGGAGATAAAAGGTTTTGGTCCAACAGCAGCGATATGCTAGCTAGCTAGAATAATAGCTAATCTGGCCGAACTTTTAGCACATTTTAAAGAAATGGAAAGGAAACAAACTAGACTGGCTACTGCGCTAGCCAACATACTTGCTGACCAAACAACATCTTACCCAACAGTTTCAAGTCATTTTGCCTCTTTTCTTTAAAAACCACATTAAACTGCCCAGAATCTAAATAAATTGTAAATGTTAGTGAGTTATATAATGAATCACATATGTAATCAAATATGTATTTAAGTAATTACATTCAAATTGTACAGCAAGAGGAAAGTAATAACTCTAGACTCAGGTAAAGAGTAAAGAAAAATGTATTTCAATCGTAAGTTACCTTCTTCCATATATGAGCACCCTTAACGTTAACAGGGCCTGAGTTCTTCTGGTCTATGTGGCTGAAAGCTTCATGTTCCTCTGGTCTTGCCTGATGGAAGAAGCACCTAATCTTCTTCAACTAACAATGTGAGAATCTGACTCCACTTAAAAACTCTACTGACTGGAGCTTAGTATTCAACAACGGCTTGACGCTGATGAGGTAAACCGGTGTGTATTGGCCAGACACGCTGGTGGAAAAGTCCCAAAAGATCCTGAGCCACAAGATACCTCCCCCTCCACACACCCACACATTAGGGCTGGGCAGTGCTGATAACTCAATATCATTATATTTAACATATATCACCATATCAGGTGACAAGCTTGCATTACCCCCTTGAATTCCCAAACTTTTGACATCATTAGGCTTATTATTCTAAGGGGTTAATAAAGTCTGTGTCTTAAAGTTTAATCCTGACCAAACTTGGTTTTTTGATTAAAAATACAAACTTTGATTTTTTTTATTTTTTGTTGTTTTGATTAGATTGCTTTATTCTGAAATTCACACCAAAGACAATCAACCAGACACCATATTTCAGACACTATTTTTTTAGGTTTTTTAGGATTTTTAACTTACTTGAAAACAATCTAAAGCAACCAGTCAATGCCAAAGTGCAGTTAACCCCATCAGACCCAAAGTCTCACTGACAATATATTAAGTCTTTGTGCCCTTTAACTGATTAACATTGGCCCCCAGAGTAGCTGGTGAGCGTACATGTCCACATCGGTCACAGTAAAATGGATCAGTATGTGAAACTGGAGCTTTCTGTGTGCCATCGTATTTTCTATACCTGTATAAAAGAAGCTCATGCTGCCTTTATTGTTTGAGGCACTGCAATAATTTCTGTGCAATAAATTCAGAATGCAATTCTCATCTCTATAGAAATGGTTATTATTGCTTTGTTTCATCAAAGGAACAATAAAAGGTTACTGAAGTATGATGTGTATTCCTTTTCATGCGTTTGCCTGTTAAAAAAGGTAGTTTGTAGGGATGCACAACAATGTCAGAATCATAATCATACTGGTAGATAGCTAGACAGATTTTCTACAAAAAACAGTCACAATTCACTTGTACATTTGGCAGATGCTCTCATCCAGAGTGACTTACAATTTGATCATTTTACACAGGTAGGTGAAGGTAGTGTTAGGAGTCTTGCCCAAGGACTCTTATGGGTATAGTGTAGGGTGCTTGCACAGGCAGGGAATAGAACCCAGGTCTACGGCATAGAAGGCAAAGGTGTGACCAACCTGACCGTTTGACCATTTTCCAGTCTCTGTTCATCCCTTAGAATTAAACCGGCTGTTTTTGTTACTATGTCTTTAAGACTGATGTATGTAAATGAGCTGTTCTGATTGGCTGCCCTGTGTTACGCCTCATTTAAAAAGCAAGGCTGAAACACTGCTTATAGCTTCAGCGTGAATCGGCGGAGCTAAACAGTTGTAAGCTGAATAAGTGTATATATATATATATATATATATATATATATATATATGTATAGCTTACAACGTATATGTGTTGATTTTTGTTACGTCACTGAAACAAACTCCAAATGGGCTGTTTTTTGTTGCATAGTTTCCATATACAAACGACACGGACTCGGGAGTGAACCGTACATTTTGAAACTCCTTCAAACGCTTTTACTTCATAATATGGGCCCTTTAAAAAAACCTGCAATTTATTTATTTTAGTGCATTATTACCCTTAAAATAACAGTGTTAAATAAACAGGCATGTTTAATTGGATATAATGCAGTATAGTGCATATAATACAGTATTTAGTGAGTACTAAATCAAAACTTTTGTAGTTTTAGGTTTATTATTATAGTTTTTTCTAAATATCTGACACTATACGTTCTATTTTGTCTGGTACAACTTATTAAATTTGTAAAAACTGAATATCCTGTATTGTGTATTGTGAAAACATCTTCAAGTATCGTGGTAATATTTTTGTCATATCTTTTGCTACTTAGCTAACACAATAGCTAATGAGGCTGAAGTTCTAGTACACGTTAAAGGAATGTGATCTGTAACTTAAACTTAAGCCAGACTGGCTACTGCGCTAGCCAACATACTTGCCGTCCAAACAACATCTTAGCCAACAGTTTCAATTTGTTTTGCCTCTTTCCTTTAAAAACCACATTAACTGTACGTAACGTAAATAAATGCTGCGTCTATGGGATCAAAGGTTATATTTCCTAGTTAATGCTAATCCAGGTGGTCCCAAATTCTGCAGTTTATAAATGTATCAGCTTCAGCGGGTATGTACATAGAAAATATAGAATATCGAGCACCGACTC